CTGGGCCTAAAATTCTAACCATATGCGTCTCAGCACATCAATGGTAACCATCATTTGTGCAAAATGTAACTTCTTGGAGCGGCAGGGTGCAAGACTCCCTTCATTTACAGCCATGAGTCAGGATAAAAATAAATTTGCAAGTACTCATGCTTTGGATACATTGAAGCAGCTGGACCTGGACTTATTTCGAACCAATGTGCCCGTAACTCGAGTGCTTTCAATCTTTCAAACCTCAACAAATCTATCGAGAGATCGTTTCCCATTTCAGGGCACTGCTTGAGGGGCAAACTAGCTCTTTTCTTAGAATAAAGGCGTGCAAGACCCTATCGAAATTTACGTCTATACCTCATCTTCCAGCTACATAAACTGTTATATATCCAGTCTACGGACATCAGTATAAAGCTGTGTTTGATTATGAACTGTGATGGTGAATATGATATATAAATTGTCACACTGGGCACTGCTCAACCCCCTCCAAAATATCAGTCTGGTCTTCATTAGAGACAATTTGGTTCTTAAAGAGAAATCTACACAGTATCTCTTCCGAACTCAGAAGGACCTATAATCCTTTTGTACAAATGCATCAGTCTTCATATTCCGTTATTCATACCACATTTCCTACTGCCTTTTTTCACCCAATTTATCAGTTTGTTCACTGAAGCGAAATATCCCATAGCCATCTCTTTGAACCCACACCCGCCAACTATAGCTCATTTAGTGAGGCTATCTCTACCATCCCATACCCTCTTTCTCTCTCCTCTCTTCCTCTCTCTGTCTCCCTCCTCTCCCCTTTCGTATTCTTATACACTCAAGATACTGTAATCAGCTGTACAGATATTATGGTTTTCGTTAAAGGAATAAATATCAAATATCGAATCAAATATTTGTTATTGTTGTACTCCACAATCCATGCAATTATTCTCAGAATTAGTGCGACGAAGAAACAGAAGTTAAGAAAATATCCTCTTCTGTCTAGTACAATCCTAATGTAAAATACGGTTCATGGGAAATTGGGCTCAGATTTGTGCATGTAATCATTACCATAAACTCGTGAAGAGGGAGGCAACTCATCACCTCCTGCCGGCGTCAATCATGAACTTGGGAAGACCCAGAAGAGAGTTGATGAGCTCCGAGTTCCTCTTGTGGGGTCCCACGACCACCCCGGTGTGAGCGCCTTTCGCTGCCTGCAGAATCTCTATTGCTAGTTCTGTTGCAAGCCTGAGGAAGAAGGATGGTATAAGACTGTGATAAGCAGGAATAGTTTATAATAAGCAGAATAAGAAGCAACACTATTATCATCATCAGCTAATGAAAACAAACAAGAGAAGAAAAACTGGGATGCTGTCAGTGGAACTCCCACAAAGACCGAGTCAACAAAATTATAATTTCTATACGGTCGCAGTGTAAGGAAATGATAACATTAACGCACTTCCCATGCCTAGAAGTCAATATTTACATTCGCAAAGTATAATTTTAACTGTGATATTATGCACCTGACACTTTGAAGCTGAAGGTTCCCTCTGTGCTTCTGTCACCACGACGGCCGTCACCGCCAACACCACAAACAACAGCATTGCAAAACGACACATCCTGTAAGGATATATGAATAATTGGGTTAATACTGAGCCTCAGTGGCAAAACTTGTATACTTTGCAAACTTTCTAAATGCAATTATTTTCATACAATCCCATAATTACGATGTCCATTTAGAAAACAAAATGGCTGACATTTCCTTCCCGTTTCACCCAAAACGTGCAAATAGAAGACGATTGGAGGGAGAACTTACCTGCAGAGAGCGAAGTGGACACGGGAAGAATGCTATGCCACCTGCGGCAACCGCCCTTTTATGTGGCTCCGAAGGGCGCCCACGCGATCGCGCCCTCGGCTGGCTGACCGCCCGCGCGACTCGGGCTGTGTCTGCGCGGGCGCCATGGAAGGAAGGGCTTGGTGCAGACACTCGCATGTACTCACGCATTAACGGTATATAAAGAACATTCTATATATATGTATATATATGTACAAGACATATGCACTATATACCTATATATACATATTTTTACTATATACATACACACATCTATATATAATACATTATGTATACTATATACATACATACACACACAGACACATACACATATATGCATATACATACACACACATACACATACACCCACACCCACATTCATACCAGGCACACTCCGCACACACGCACATGCACACGCACACATATAAATATGAATATAAATAATATACATACATACATATATGTATAACTATATATGAATATGTATGCTTATATGTATCTATCTATATACTTACATACATGCATAAATATACACACACGCGTGTGCGTGCATGTATGCATTTATGTATATATATATCCATATATGATTATGTCTATATCTATCTATCTATCAAGATATATACATACATATGCACACACTCGCATGTATATATATATATATATATATATATATATATATATATGATATATATATATATATATATATATATAGATATATAGATATATGCTTATATATATATTCATATATACAAATGCATATAAACATACGTATAATACATGCATGTATGTATGTATATATATTATATATATATATATATATATATATATATATATGGATATACATATTTATATATAGATATACATATACATATGTATATATATAGATATAGATTAA